TAACAATGAGAACAATAGAAACCCGTTTCCTGACTTACTGAACACCCTGTATAATAATATAAATTTACCTATAGTGTAGGAATAGGTATAGTATTTTTAATAAAAAAAAAATTCCCGCATTGTGGGGTCGCAGTACAACGAGGACGTGGCATAGTTGGATCAAGTATAGATAATATATGATAGAAATTAAAATCACTATAATAAAAAATGCATGGATGCATATTTGTATTAATTTTGAAAACGAATCATTGAATTATTCCAAAAGTAACATGATCACTTATTTCCATATTTATATTATAATAATAAGTTTTATGGCTTATTAGTATAAAACATAAATAAATACTTATTATAGTAATTAAATTTAGTATGACATTGATGTTTAATAATATAGTATTATTTAGGGACAAATTATAAAAAGTTATACGTTTTTGTATACAGTGTCATTCTTTTAATATTAGTACTCGATTTCTCTTAAATAATAATTATAATAAGAAAACTAGTTTTGCATTTTTAATTTTATATTTTTCTCAATTTATTAATTATTCAATTTTTTTTAATTCATCCATTAAACATTATAAAGGTGTCAGCTTTATTTTTTTAGTGGTTACATAAAAAGTTAACTAGTTAATAGAATAAAAACCCAGCACGGTGAGGACGTAGCATAGTTGGATTCAGTATAAATTTTATCTGACAGCGATTAAAATCACTATCATAAAAAACACTTCGATGCAAATCTGTAGATAGTCTTTAATTTTAAGAAATTGGTTGATTATTCCAAAAGCAACATGATCTCCTATTTCCTTATTTATATCCTGATTACAAGTTTTATGTTTTATAAGTGTAATATATGTATAAATATTTGTTACAGCAATTATATATAGTATGAAATTGATATTTAATAATTTAGTATTGTAATTTTTACGGAGAAATTATAAAGTAGTTATTACTTTTACGGCAAAGGCAAATAAAAGTTGAAATGCTTGACGCAATACTTTTTAAAAAAGTGTTTGTTACTTATTGGTTTACAAGGAATTTTCATCAGAGATCAAAATATACTTTTCTAAACCCATTTTTGTACCTATATCAAATATGCAATTAAAATTTCACATATTGACTAAATAATAACAAAATCCTTCTCATTAATATAACAAATATTTATGTTTGATTATTATGTCACGTATGAATAAATAAAAAAATAAATTTTAATTAAAAATAAGTTGAAAAAGTTCTACTTAAATATTAATAATAATCAATAAATATATTGTAATTAAAAAAATATGTAACATGCAGAATGTATTATGTCCAGTATACAGTGGCGTGCCCAAGAATTTTAAATGGGGAGGGATGTCATAACTAATATGTATTAATAACTTTAAATACTTTTAATGGGGGTGGAAGAATTAGAAAAAGATTTATAAGGGTGCTTTAGAGGTCAAGCCTCATTAAAATATTTATTAATATTTTGTGTTTTGTATGATATGATGTAATGTTGTTATACAAATATACAATGTAATAATTACAACTTTATTCAATTATTGCTGTTAGGTAATCGATGCTAGAAAAAAACGCAATGGGGAGGGATATGACCCTTAACCTAACCCCCTCCCCTGGGCACGCCACTGCCAGTATATCAATATAAATAATTATTCAAACACCAATAAATCCATAGAAATTCTTACTAAGACTTCAATTTAAATAATTTATTACAATAAAACGTTTTTATCAACATTTTCAATCTAAAAAATTTTAAAAATCAATAAAAAGAACTATTTAAGCTAAATCAAAAATTCAAAATCGCTTTTTTTAATTTTGAGGTAGAAAAATAATCAAAATAAATAAAAATTTGTATTTAATGTAATCAGTGACGTCTTGTGGGCGGACGACGGGACGATCGCACCCCAACTAAAATTAATTAAAAGAAGAAAATTAATTGTATATTTATCTTAATTCTACATTTTTATTAAAAATGCAAATTTTTAAATAGCAAAATAGTTGTAATACATTTGTCGTGTGCGAACATTAAAGTTGTTTCCCTCAGTGTAAGCGATTATATGCACACACGAACATGTTTGGATGACCTACAGCGTCGTCCGAACAATATTTTGAAAAGTGTATTATAAGCGAGGCGCCCAATCATGTGCGTACGGATAAGGTTCAGCTGCTATCTTATGAACGGGTTTTGGACGACCGGCAGCGTCGTTCATACGGTAAAAAATTAGTATGTTACTATATTGGTAATTTATTTTTAGAATTAACTAATGTATACAGTCGTCGTTATCGATTGCCATAATAGTATAATCGTTATTTTTATTATTATTTTCATTTTTATTTTCTGCTGTGACCTTTATAATAGTAAGTGTTTAGTGATTTATTTTATTATATTTAATTTGACAATTTTTTTATACCTATAACTAGCGGTATTACATTTCAAGTCGCAACCCCATCACCAGCACCCAAGAACCGCCACTGAATGTAAGTTAGATTCATGTAGCTTTTATAAAAATTGGTGGACTCTTTACTATGGCTAACCGTTGTAAAGTATTTTAGAATAAATGAAAAAAAATGAACACAGCGTGTTTTTTAAATACAGCAAATGGCACGTAGATGATAAGTCGTCGGGAAAATTTTTTTTTTTTCAATTATTTGTACGCAACATAAGCTTTAATTTAAGATTAAATAAAAGTGTCAATATTTCTGGAACATTTTCAAAAATTAAGTTAAAATGCTTAACTTGATTGCAAAAATTGCTTTTTTGATTCCCCTTTGTGGGCAGGTTTAGAGTCAGATTTTCAAAAAAATGATATCAAATGAATAGCAAACATCTAAGATTTTAATATAAAAAAAAAATTATTATAATTCGTTCATTTTTTAAAAAGTTATGGTAGTTTTAAGTAAAAAAAGTTAAGGAATTTACTTATTTTTAAAATTGTAATATTTTTGGAAATTTCCTCCCTTTACGAGAAACGATGGAAATTTTTTCAATTTTTGAGGGTAATTTCTTCGACTAGATACGATTTGTGATCTTTTGACGTATTGTTAAAAGAAATCGGTTCAGTGAGAACTGAGAAAAAGTGATAACAGACACAAAAAAGAAAAAACACATCATAGTAAAATTAATACCTTCTCATATTCGTTCGAAGCTAAAAATATGTAGGCAGAGAAAGTTCAAAATAAATTTAATAACTACTAATGACGTGCAATGAGATTACTTGTTAAATAATTAACTAAATTTTCAACGTAAACACATGAAACTTGAGATATAGATCTCAAATTTTGTATATACCTGTTAAATATAGCCTATTAGAGTTTTAAATAGAGTTTTTTTAAAAAAAAATGTAATGATTAATTTTCACTAATAATTAGTAATAATCTCAAAAACTTGAATCAATATGAATATTCTTAGATCAATTTTTTTTCATTTTATAAATAAGTTAAAAATAAGATTTAACAAAATTATGGTTAAGGTTTTTTATGCAATATTCTCCTTTATGAAAAATGTTCATAATATATCACCTCTATTTTTAATTTTTACTTTTTATTAAATCAATATTTAACAAGTACTAACAAAATTATCAAATAAAAAAGTATACATACTTCTATTGCGCACAATTTTTTGTTAAAAATATTATCAAATCGTTATAAATATACTGACCATACTACCAATTTAAACGTTTTTAATAGTTCGAATACTTGTAATTTCTTAATAGTTTAAAAAATGAAACTTAAAGTGCTAACCTTGATATTATTCACTATAAATATTTTTCTTGGATTTAGCATTGTTGATTGTTTCATAAAGCAAAAAGAGTATGAAATATATTTCGAATCAGTAACGAATTACATAGGTATTCAGCTAACACAGATAAATCAGGGACATGTGTCAGTAAGAATAGATAAGGATAAAATTATAAGCATAGAAGAAATATTAAAAAATAAACCAAAAAATTATAATGATATAATATTTAAGTATAACATTATAGTTGATTTAATCAACTATTTATTTGCTAAAGACCTACAAAATTTTACTGAACACTTGAAAATCATTATAGAATGTTGTGACATTTTTTTTAAAAAAAATTCCTATGAGAATGCAACTTATTGCACAGTATTACTTTTAAATGCAGCTAAAAATTCAAATTTGATGTTTACATATTTATACAAAGCTATTCTATTTATTGATAACTTGGATATAAAATTACTGTTAAAAAATTCAATTCATCCAAAACTGGTAGTAGAAGAAATTTATACTGTTAAAAACTATACGTTTTTAATGAAAACGCCAGAATTGGTAAATTATATAAAGAATGCCGGAAGTATTAAAATGGAAGAGCTTTTAGAAGACTATAATGAAATAAATAATTTCGTTGATAAAATTGTTTCATTAACAGATGAAATTTTTAAAAATAAAGTTACTTATGTAGAGAGTACAATGGAATGTAATTTACGAGAAAAGTACTATAGTGAATACATAAATAATAAGTATGAAATTAATTTTGTCGATTTTGTCAGAGAAAAGTTAAAGCATTATTGTTCAGAAACCATTTATAAATATTATTCAAAAATCGGATTCAATGAGTTACTTCATCCCAATATAGCTGGGTAAGTTTTATTTATTAATAAAAATACTGTTGTCTACGTGGAATTCAATTTTTAGAGTAATCTTAAAATTTATCGTTTTAAACAATAATTAACGGAAGTTAAATTGTGTAGTCTGAAATTGTATTTTAAATAGAGTACACAATTTATGGTTGTACATTTGCTTGTTAAGGAACACCTTTAACAAAGTCCTAGTGGACTAGTTGCCACAGTTACCGTTGAATACATGAACCCAACCAAACCCATTCTTAACAACTTATCCCTATCGTCTTTGCTTGCCCATCCTCACACCCACCAAGACAATTCGACGTGATCGTAAATAGGGTTAAGACAAGACGGCGAGTTCTACGGTTCAGCTGTCTCGTACAAAACAACATGGTAGAATGTAAAATAAATTTTATTAAATAAAATTTATACAATAATGATTTTTCCGTATGATTTTTAAAGTCTAAATAAACATAGTTATTGTATTATTGTAGGCTTAAGCCCCCTCAAAACTACGGCTTTAAACAAAATGAAGCAATTGAAATACTAAATACTTTGTTCCGTGAAGGAGATTGGAGGCTATTAAATCATATAAGAATAATAATTGGTAATGAAATTATAACTACTAATCAAATTATTCGAGACAATGTAGACGATTTTAATTTTAATAAAAAAAGACAATACTTTACACAGCTGATAAAGTGCAGATATACTGAAGTATTAAAAAACTATAATACACATATAACTGCTGTAATTCAAACATGCAGAAATGAAAAGACTGGTGGTAATTTAAAAGCCTTTGTAGATTGTACTATTAAATTTTTTGAAATAGTTAATGATTCAAAAGACTTGTTAAAAATTATGTTGCTAGCTTTAAATAAATTAGAAGATTCAAATATTTGGGAAGTGTTTTATACTCCATATTCATGTTTAACGCAAACCTATAATATATTACGTAAGTTTTCCTCCGAAATTGAACGTCTTAATTTTAGGAAAACTGATTTTATTAATCTATCTATCAATGAACTAGAAATGAAAGTATCTAAATTCTTATTTGATTTTCAAAATGCTCGAATAAATTTTACTCGAAGACTTATGGACGAACGTAATACTGTTCATAATTGTTGCTTGATTGAAGGTGAACTTTTAAATAAAAATCAATTAATAGATTCATGGAAGATTATTGTTTCGTTAAATAATAATAAAAACACACTTGAACGTCCAGTACGTTTGTATGAATACGCTTTGGAACGCTTTATCGCGTTTTTTAATGCTGCTATTACAAGTGAATACGACAGTTTAGGTTTCAATAAAATAACTATTAGCAATTAACAAAAATTTTGTAATTTTCTTTTATTTTATAAAAATTAACTTTATTAAACTTTTAATCGCTTTTTTTTAATATTATTATTACAAAATACCTGTAGTAATATTTAATTTATATTTGTAATAATTATCAGGACTACGACTTTTGGATAAATAAATTGTTAATGAATCGTATGAAATTTTATCAGCATTTGTTTATTCTTAATATTGTTTTCGTTGATATTATGTATTTAATTATATTAACTACATTTTGATAAGTGATTATAGTTACACTGGTTTTTTGTTACTTTAAAACAAATATTTATGCATTTCTCATAAAATGTAGAGAATATATTCCCTCATAAATCTATAATTTATTAAATAAATTTTTCCCTGAAATTGATTAGCTTAATTCAACAAAAAAAGTTATTTTCGTGTAAAAGGAATTATCGTTTTTCGTGTTTGTATAATTTTTTTAATTAATAATGTCTATATCATAGATATAAAAGTATATTCATATAGGATGGGAGGTAAGTATCCTTAATTAAATCCTTTCTTTTACAAAAAAATAAATGAAATAAATTTTAAGTGCTCATTATAAATATTTTCAAAGAGAATTTTTGTGCTTTTTAAAATTTCTAAATAACATTCGGTAACAATATTGATCATTCCTGATCAAAATGTACTAGAATTAAATATGAATATTTTAAATAATTAATAAAAAAATATGAATTATTTAACTAAGCTGATGATTCCAAACAACAGAGATGCAGTTAGCCAGGTCACACAAGTATAGTTAGTGATAAACTCTATAAGTAGTAATTATATCCTGATGTGCAAAAATAAAATACGTATTGTAAATATATATTATACCAAATAATTAACTTTATTATTATCACTGTTTATTGCACACAATCGTTGGGATATAGATTTACCTATAGTTCTGTTAAAATTTTAATAAGAGATTTATAATGAAAATTAAATTTAAAACTAAAATATAACTTAAGTGATGACGGTAATCAGGAATAGACATCGCACTAAACCGTATAATAACATAAAATAAAATAAGAACTCAAGTGAAGTTAATCAATGCACAACTTTTTCTTTCAAAAAAAAAAAAATTGCATATGAAAATAATTCATATGACTTATCATAGTAAAATGTGACTGACATAGGAGAAATTTTGGGGGAAAAATAAAAAAAATACTGCAAAGGGAACATACCCTATGAGAGAATAATAATTAATATTCAAATATGTATATATCTTAAATAAATATCATAATCTAATTCTTAACAATTTGAAACTTCAATGATGTCTTCGGTGTGGACACACAACGGGTGACTTCCATTAATAATTAATTACAATTATTGTAATGATGATTAAATCCGGCGGCGTAACGTATAACCATGTGACTCGAAAAAAAACTCGCTGACAGCTACGAAGCCACTCGAACCACCACCACAAAAAATAATACATACAAATACACAAAGAGGACCGTACGGGTACAAACTTCTATCTAAAAACAAAGGCGAGGCAAATAACATATCCTATGGACTAAAATCGTGCACTTATGTCATGAGCTGGTAATGAATATTTAATAAGGCAATATATATTTATAATATAACGGCGTGAAAATGAAAATTCAATAAAATAAATAAAATTAGTACAATTATTGTAACTACGGTAAGGCAATAAAACATTTCTCCAGGGCGCGTAACTAATGTCTTGGCATCATATTAATACCCCCCAAATCATAAGTCAAATAACGTATTGCAGTAACTTATTTTACGTTAAATGAAAAGGTTTATTGTGAGAAAAAGTATGTAAAGACATTTGTATCTTATCCTGTCACAGGATCGCAAATCTTTGTTTTTTGTCGGCCTGCAACATCAACATGGTTTGTTACTTACATAACGACTTGCTGTAGTAGCAAGGGTTACCATCTAGGTGAGATGTCATACCTATCAAATATGATTACCGGACGATAGGTAGAATTTAATTTTAAGTTAATTAATAGTCTAATTTAAGTTAATATGTCGTTATATGTATAAATGATTATGACACGTCGTGGTTTATTAACCACAACTATGATAATTGGAAGTTGTACGTGGTTGATATGTAAAACATACCGAAGCCCGTGTCTAGATTAAGGAACAGGGATAAAATACACGCGAGTACTTAAGCGCAATGAAATAAATATTACAGTTAAAATTAATAAGGAAATTTAATTTAATTGTTAAAAAAGAAAATTAAGTTAAACATGAACAAAAATACAAATGTATTAAAAATCATGTCCACAAAGAAAGGCAACAAAAATAAAATCAAATATTTAAACAAAATCAAATAATATGAAAAACAGCACAAATGTTATTAGAAAACATCCGTTAATGTTAATCGGAAATTAATGAAAAACACCAGGAGCAGTCTGGACACTGGATCCTTAGCGTTGGCCAGAAGAAAACACGAACTCACCACACATAAATAAAATTAAGATATTTTATAATAAAATAACTAATAAATAATATATAGCTCACAATTATAATTATAACAAAGAAAACAATACCCGGTCTCCGAAGAGAGTCTGGAAGCTTCGCCGAAAAGACCTGGCCGTTGGCGGCTCTACTCAATCATTGAAAAAATAGTGACAAGAAAATAAAAAACATGTGCACTCTAGCGCGGTCAATGACAGAATCAAGATGAAGAGCCAACGCCGATCTAACGGCAATTTCAAAACGATTTTTACGTCAGTCTTTTTAGAATATTCCGACAAACAATTCGATTTTTATTATATTTATTCCGTTTTGTCGCCCTATCTAGCGGTCTGCGGCATTAATAATGAGTTGTTGACACCGCTGTGTCAGAAAAAGGTTCATTCGTACAATCTCTTGTGCGATAAAAAATAAATAAATAGACATAACAAAATTTATAAACGGTCCACTTTCAAATTCGTGACATTACANCATAACAAAATTTATAAACGGTCCACTTTCAAATTCGTGACATTACAGTATCTTCAACCAGATACGATTTGTGATGTATCGTAAGCTAAACATTTAAGCTCAAGTAAACTTAAAATTTCTTTTAATTTTTCTTTTTTTTTTTGCAGTTTGGCTGATATTTATGTATATTATAAGTAGAAAAAAACCCTTCACTAATCTTAAAAACTTATACCTTTTTCTATAATTAATGCATAAGCTAAAATGTACTATATTCTTGAAAATATGAATAAATGACGATAGTATTGAATAACAATGGCCGTTTTTTGTTTTTTGGGATATTTTTAGTCAAAATACTAAAAACACGTTGCGCCTAAAGAAAATTTTTTTTTTAAAAATCTGAAATTTTCACAAAATGTCTATTTTAATGTATAATAAAGTTAAAATGGTTCTGATTAAAATTTCGAAGATGGAATTTTTTTGATCCACCCTAATATATATATAATGGTAAAAGTAATACCTTATTCTTCGCATCGAAACTAAACATGAAAATTTAAATTTACATACAGTTACTAATATAATACAATTAAATCATATTCTTTATTAATTATAGTTTAAATTATTAAACACACTATATATATATAAACATAAGTTGTTAAATCATTTTTTTATGTAACATATATTAGTATATATCGTATATTAGTAGTTGATATTGACAATTTGCCCTTCTACAGATCAAAATCTATATGCCATTATTTAGTTGTCAATTGATCATCACTGATCAATTTTAATAATTCAATGATGGGAAATAAAATAAATAAAAACTAGATGAATACCCGTCCATCAAGGTCAGAACAGTGGTAGTTTACTTAATTAGACAAAGAACGCGCAGTAAGGCACTGGACTTGTAAGAAACAATACCACGAAAAATAACACCAGAGTAACGAATTGAAAGGAATTAGCTTGACGCTGTATGAACACGACGATGATTTTGATAAGTGCTGTACATCTATATGTGTTTTGCCTATTCATTTCACGTATATTGGGTACACCACTAAATCAAAATAAAACACAGTCATTGGACATTCAAGTCAAGAGTACTCCATCAATAATTAAGTCAATAAATGATAAAATTTCATCCATACAACCGGCAGATCTGTTTTATCGAACATTCTCCAACTTCACTGTACAACAAACCAATAGCTCAGCATGTAGAATTCAAACAGGTTTATATATTACTCACTTGAAAAATAATTCTTATTGGGCGTCTAAAAGTAAGTCAATATTTTAAAAATAAAAATATCTTTTGGTAAAAAGGCTTTTATAAACCCAATTTTTAATTATTATGAATTTTCTATCCAAAATAATATAAATTCCATCATTATTATTTCTTGTTACTTCAAAAAAAAATTTTAAAAATACTTAAAATTATTAACAATTATTATAAAGTAAAATAAATATTTTAAAAAGATGATAAATTTTAGATAACGTTTTTTTTTTTTGTATTATATTTCTACTTATTTTTTAAACAATTGTAATCATTAAGCTCGCATCATGTTAAAATCATAAATCCTTTTGTATTAAATTTTTGAAGTTTTCATTTGGTTTTATTCGTCCTGAAAATATTATAACAGATAAATAAAACTTTCATTAATTTAATGAATTAGTTAAAAAGCGATGAATCTATAGAATTTTATAATTCCCCAAGTTATTGTTAGCAAAATTGTCAAATCAAATATAAATATGTGGTTTAAGGCTCCATAAAAATCTGTTTAATACACTGTACTGTTCTCATTTTGAATACGACGTTTACACTTATTATTTAGAGAAAACCAAATTTAATTCATCCATTAAACATTATAAAGGTGTCAGCTTTATTTTTTTAATGGTCACATAAAAAGTTGAATAGTTAATAGAATAAAAACCCAGCACAGTGAAGACGTAGCATAGTTGGATTCAGTATAAATTTTATCTGACAGTGGTTAAAATCACTATCATAAAAAACACTTCGATGCAAATCTGTAGATAGTCTTTAATTTTAAGAAATTGGTTGATTATTTCAAAAGTAACATGATCTCCTATTTCCTTATTTATATCCTGATTACAAGTTTTATGTTTTATAAATNTTATATCCTGATTACAAGTTTTATGTTTTATAAATGTAATATATGTATAAATATTTGTTACAGCAATTATATATAGTATGAAATTGATATTTAATAATTTAGTATTGTAATTTTTACGGAGAAATTATAAAGTAGTTATTAATTTTACGGCAAACGCAAATAAAAGTTGAAGTGCTTGACGCAATACTTTTTAAAAAAGTGTTTGTTACTTATTGGTTTACAAAGAATTTTCATCAGAGATCAAAATATACTTTTAGCTTCGATGCGAAGCTGAGAAGGTATTAATTTTACTATGATGTGTTTTTTTTTTTTGTGTCTGTATACGCTCAATCTCAGCTCTCACTGAACCGATTTTGATGATAAATATGTCAAAAGATTACAAATCGTATCTAGTTGAAGACATTACCCTCAAAAATTGAAAAAAATTCCTCGTTCCTCGTAAACGGGGGAAATCCCCCAAAAAATTACAAATTTAAAAATCGCTAATTTTCGATTTTTTCATTTTTTTTTACTTACCATTTATTGCCATAACTTTTTTTAAAAATGACCGAATCAATATAATTTTTTTTTTATAGATACCTTAGATAATTACCTATCATTTTATATATTTTTGTGAACATTTGACCCTTTAACAGCCCAAAGGATGGAGTTTCAAAATGGTAACTTTTTTACAAAAAATTAACTTTTTCAACTTAACTTTTGAAAATGTTCCGGAAAGACTGACAATTTTATATATACCTTAAATTAAAGCTAATGTAATATACTTTAATTTGAAAAAAAAAAATTTGACCTCTGGACTTGTCTTCATGGTGAAAATGACTACCGTATGCAAAAATATGCTATTTTTGTGAAAAAATTCTTGATATTATATTTTACATTTTTTAACATTATGTTGCTATAACTTTTTAAAAAATGCATGAATCAACTTTATTCTTTAATGATAAATACTTTATATATACTTCTTTCATTCGACATACTTTTTTTTAAAATCGGACCATTTCCCTTTATACAGGGGGGGTGCAAACCTTTAAAATGCGTATAGAAAGTAGAACTTTTTCAACTTAACTTTTGAAAATGTTCCGAAAAGACTGAAACTTTTATATATATCTTAAATTAAAGATAATGTAATATACTTTAATTTGAAAGAAAAAAATTTGACCTCTGGACTTATCTTCGTGGTGAAAACGGACATCAAAGTTAAAGAAAAACGTACGATTTCCGTGAAAAAAATCTCGATTTTATATGTTATATTATTTAATTTATATTTTATATAACTTTTGGAAAAATGTATGGATCAATATTATTATTTTTTTATAATAAATATTTATATACTCCTTTCATCTACACGCTTTTTTTGTAAATCGGATCATACCCCTTTAACAAGGGGGGTCAAAACTTTAATCATGCGTATTGTTACTATGATATTTTCAATTTAATTTTTGAAAGTATTCCGGAAATACTGACACTTTTATATATATCTTAAATTAAAGCTTATGTTATATACTTTAATTTGAAAAAAAAAAAATTTGATTTGAAAAATCTCTGGACTTCATTGTTGAAAATGACTACCGTATGCAAAAATATGCTATTTTTGTGTTAAAATTCTGGGTTTTGTATTTTATTTTATTTTAAAATACCTGACAAGGGGAGTACAGATTTTCATAAATATTATATAAATTAAAATTGATATAGTATAGATAGTTAAACTTATTTAAATANATAAATAAAAAATTAATATAGCATAGAAAGTTAAACTTATTTAAATTTGTTTGCTTATTTTAAGTCAAAAAAAATAACTTGAAATTTGAACTAGCTTAAATAGCCTATTTTTTCACCCGACGGTAACGACGTACGGTTGCCGAGATGGTAAAACTTATGTTATACACGCTTGGGGTACGAGGTTCCAACCCGCGTATGGCAATGAAATTTTTGCATTTTTTCTTAATTCTTTTTAAGTTGGTTAAAGAATTTTTAACTCATTTAGATTCAATAACTTCAATAAAGAACAATGATCCCATCACTTTAGTCGCCCCTTGCAAGAAGAAATTTCTTATTCGTATTAAAATTATTTTAC